AGGATCCCCCAATTGTCGGTCTGGAGAGGTCGCGCGGGGGCGTTTGCGTTGGTTTGTGTGTGGTTTGCTGGGGCGCGTTTTTGTGTGTCGTTGGGGATGTGTGAAATTGAGCTAGCACTTTGGCGCAGAGGAAGCGTGTTGGGCTCATAACCCAAAGGTCGTTGGATCGAGACCAACAAGTGCTAACTTTTACCCGCGCCGTTCGGGTGCTCCCTCGCCTCTTTGTTGCGGCTTCTAGCAGCTTCCGCCTGTCCTGCTGCCCCTCCACGCTGCCTGCACTGACCCCGCCTTCGCCCCTCGTGCCTGGCAGGCCGCACAACGACGGCGGGATCGAGTCCCGCCACGGTTCAAGCGGTGGGTTGGTAAACCCGGCGGCGCGGCACCAGGCAACAGTAGGGGCGTGTCCACGACGCGCTGTCGCGCCTGGCGGTGTGTGATGGGCCCTGGTTTGGTCGCGCGGCGGCGAGGCGCCTGTGCGCAGTGGCAGTTTGTTGTGCCGCGGGTACGTGTACCTAGGTTTGGTGGGAGATATCTCGTGAACGATAAGCTCGTTGGGGGCATCAATTGTCGGTCTGGAGAGGTCGCGCGGGGGCGTTTGCGTTGGTTTGTGTGTGGTTTGCTGGGGCGCGTTTTTGTGTGTCGTTGGGGATGTGTGAAATTGAGCTAGCACTTTGGCGCAGAGGAAGCGTGTTGGGCTCATAACCCAAAGGTCGTTGGATCGAGACCAACAAGTGCTAACTTTTACCCGCGCCGTTCGGGTGCTCCTTCGCCTCTTTTTTGCGGCTTCTAGCAGCTTCCGCCTGTCCTGCTGCCCCTCCACGCTGCCTGCACTGACCCCGCCTTCGCCCCTCGTGCCTGGCAGGCCGCACAACGACGGCGGGATCGAGTCCCGCCACGGTTCAAGCGGTGGGTTGGTAAACCCGGCGGCGCGGCACCAGGCAACAGTAGGGGCGTGTCCACGACGCGCTGTCGCGCCTGGCGGTGTGTGATGGGCCCTGGTTTGGTCGCGCGGCGGCGAGGCGCCTGTGCGCAGTGGCAGTTTGTTGTGCCGCGGGTACGTGTACCTAGGTTTGGTGGGAGATATCTCGTGAACGATAAGCTCGTTGGGGGCATCAATTGTCGGTCTGGAGAGCTCGCGCGCGGGCGTTTGCGTTGGTTTGTGTGTGGTTTGCTGGGGCGCGTTTTTGTGTGTCGTTGGGGATGTGTGAAATTGAGCTAGCACTTTGGCGCAGAGGAAGCGTGTTGGGCTCATAACCCAAAGGTCGATGGATCGAGACCAACAAGTGCTAACTTTTACCCGCGCCGTTCGGGTGCTCCTTCGCCTCTTTTTTGCGGCTTCTAGCAGCTTCCGCCTGTCCTGCTGCCCCTCCACGCTGCCTGCACTGACCCCGCCTTCGCCCCTCGTGCCTGGCAGGCCGCACAACGACGGCGGGATCGAGTCCCGCCACGGTTCAAGCGGTGGGTTGGTAAACCCGGCGGCGCGGCACCAGGCAACAGTAGGGGCGTGTCCACGACGCGCTGTCGCGCCTGGCGGTGTGTGATGGGCCCTGGTTTGGTCGCGTGGCGGCGAGGCGCCTGTGCGCAGTGGCAGTTTGTTGTGCCGCGGGTACGTGTACCTAGGTTTGGTGGGAGATATCTCGTGAACGATAAGCTCGTTGGGGGCATCAATTGTCGGTCTGGAGAGCTCGCGCGCGGGCGTTTGCGTTGGTTTGTGTGTGGTTTGCTGGGGCGCGTTTTTGTGTGTCGTTGGGGATGTGTGAAATTGAGCTAGCACTTTGGCGCAGAGGAAGCGTGTTGGGCTCATAACCCAAAGGTCGTTGGATCGAGACCAACAAGTGCTAACTTTTACCCGCGCCGTTCGGGTGCTCCTTCGCCTCTTTTTTGCGGCTTCTAGCAGCTTCCGCCTGTCCTGCTGCCCCTCCACGCTGCCTGCACTGACCCCGCCTTCGCCCCTCGTGCCTGGCAGGCCGCACAACGACGGCGGGATCGAGTCCCGCCACGGTTCAAGCGGTGGGTTGGTAAACCCGGCGGCGCGGCACCAGGCAACAGTAGGGGCGTGTCCACGACGCGCTGTCGCGCCTGGCGGTGTGTGATGGGCCCTGGTTTGGTCGCGCGGCGGCGAGGCGCCTGTGCGCAGTGGCAGTTTGTTGTGCCGCGGGTACGTGTACCTAGGTTTGGTGGGAGATATCTCGTGAACGATAAGCTCGTTGGGGGCATCAATTGTCGGTCTGGAGAGCTCGCGCGCGGGCGTTTGCGTTGGTTTGTGTGTGGTTTGCTGGGGCGCGTTTTTGTGTGTCGTTGGGGATGTGTGAAATTGAGCTAGCACTTTGGCGCAGAGGAAGCGTGTTGGGCTCATAACCCAAAGGTCGTTGGATCGAGACCAACAAGTGCTAACTTTTACCCGCGCCGTTCGGGTGCTCCTTCGCCTCTTTTTTGCGGCTTCTAGCAGCTTCCGCCTGTCCTGCTGCCCCTCCACGCTGCCTGCACTGACCCCGCCTTCGCCCCTCGTGCCTGGCAGGCCGCACAACGACGGCGGGATCGAGTCCCGCCACGGTTCAAGCGGTGGGTTGGTAAACCCGGCGGCGCGGCACCAGGCAACAGTAGGGGCGTGTCCACGACGCGCTGTCGCGCCTGGCGGTGTGTGATGGGCCCTGGTTTGGTCGCGCGGCGGCGAGGCGCCTGTGCGCAGTGGCAGTTTGTTGTGCCGCGGGTA